TTGCGTTTTGTGTAGCCCGTACGCGTCAACTGCCTCCCCTTTCGTCCGATTCCCGAAAGGAGGGGTGGAACCAGTACACCTTTCGGTTCAGATACAGTAGCACCAGTACCACCACCGCCGCCACCTCTGTGACGTGCTAGGCTGGGTATTAGCGATTTGACCTCACAGAAAAACCGATACTCCTACATACTACTCCCTCTGTTCCAAAATAGATGACCCAATTTTGTGCTAAAGTTAGTATAAAATTGGGTCATCTATTTTGGAACGGAGGGAGTAGCTTTGATTCAGGATAAAAAGAGAAGGAGATGGTTTTAACGTGAAGGGAGCGCGTTGCAGTTAATATCTTCATCTTTTTTCTTCTTCTTCTTCTTCTGAATGAACTGTTAACATCTTCATTTGGTCGAGGCACAGGGAAGGTGGTTTGCTTGCCTTAGGGTGAAAAGTCGCCTTGGTACGGTGAAAACACACCTGCCTTTGAAAACCAGGTGGCACCTAGCCAATACAGCTCATGTAAGTGTCTGTCTGCCTAAGAAATTTCTGTTATAGGCAGGCCTACATGGAGGGAGGGCCACCACACCTAACTGAAACAAAAAAAATTAGTTATATAGTACGTGTTCATGTTGGTTCCGTACGCTTTTTCAGTTATTAGTCATATGCCCCTTATTACGCGACTTTGCTGCTGAACCGTACGAACAGTATCTGTGTCATCTCTCATTGCACATGAGACTTGACAGTGTCATGGAGTAGGACACTTCACCATTCCTATATGTTCAGAATCTTTCTTTTCTAGGTGGAGAATCGACTCAACTGACAGTTGAATCTGTTCTAACAAACATATCTGATTTTCAGTCTCAGGTGATCATTTCTAATTAATTAGCATGGATGAACACATGGGGCGACGGACGGTCGGCGGCCTCCTCTTCACCAAGGGGGGATCCATCCTTCTCTTCAGGGAGGACAGGTCCCGCCGCAAGGCCGGCGCTTGCTGCTCGCGCAATGGCTGCAACGGCGCCCGGCATTCGGCAGACAAAGGCCGGCCAATGCACAGCCACAGGGAACCAGCAGCCAAGGAAGCAGCACCAACCCCCCGGAGGTCACAACCTGTCAGGAAACCTCCAGAGGGAAGCAGCAATCCAGCAGAGCCCTGTAGCGAAACCGACAACGGCACAGGAGAGGCGGCGACTCCCGGTGCCGGCCGTGACCTGCTGGCACGCCTCAAGGACAGGGTGAACGCGTCAAGGAAGCGGTCGCTGGCCAGGGAAATGAGCAGCCCATCGTCATCGTCTGGTGGATTCAGTGCCAGTTCTTCTGGCGGTGGCGCCACCCGGTCATCAGCGGCGTCGAAGCCCATGCGCCGTGCTGTGTCCCGGATAAGGAAGGCAGACGAAGGCGAAAACGCAGGAGGTAGTCGCAGGGCGCCTAGAAGGGACACCGGTGGTGGTGGTGCCAGGGGGAATTCAGGTGACCCAGTGATGGTTGGGCAGCGGGCAGCAAGGGAGCAGGCGCCTACCGAAGGGTTCATCTCTGGGTTCCTAGCAAGGTACAGGGGTAGTCTCCAGGGAGGGTCGTCTCTGCAGGATGGCGCCGAGGACTCCAGCGGGTACTGGCGCTTCGACGTCGAAGGCAGCGAAGAGGTAATGGCACACTCTGTCACTCACTGCATCATGGTCATCCCAAAAACTCGGAGAATTTTACAAACAATGTTATCTGAACCATGAAATTATGCTGCAGCTGGAGAACTACTTCATGCTCAGCGATCGGCACCGGGCGATGAGGATGGACATCGACGGCATGTCCTACGAGGTACGATCATGATCACTTGTTCTCCATCCAAACTTTCCTCTTGTTGGCACATTTGGGATGCATTGCTTCTGCCTGTTCTTTGGATCATCATATATCTGACACTTCATTCTGCAGGAATTGCTCGCATTGGGTGACCGGATCGGCACGGTGAACACCGGGCTTTCAGAGGACGCGTTGTACAAGTGCCTGAAACGAAGCCTGTACACGCCCACAGCCCCAGAGACACACCAAGACTGTGACAGAAAATGCAGCATATGCCAGGTAAAGTTCATATATATGCAGAGTTTCAGTGTCACTACTGCTAAACTAAACTTTCAGGATTCGTGTGTGATCTGACGCTTGTGATGTAATTTTGTTTCCAGGAGGAGTACTCTGGTGGTGAGGAGGTGGGGAACATGGCGTGTAAGCACTACTACCACATCACCTGCATACAGCACTGGCTCCGGCAGAAGAACTGGTGCCCCATCTGCAAATCCGTCGCCGCCAAGACCGTCTAGCACTAGCACTAGCAGCCCCTGCTTGTTTAGTGTAAACAGATTCTCCTGAAATGTCTAGACACAAGATTTGTATTCTTTTTTCTACTCTCTAGAATGAAACATTTGTTTGTGCCTTCAAGACTTCTTGGCTTCCTTCAGTTCACAAGGTTCAGTGAACAAAGAAAAAGGGAACAGGAAATAAACTCTTGGTTAGATGGTGGGAAATTTCACTTGCTCAGTGGTTTCTCTTGTCAATATTCAGTGTGTGCTCTTTATTTGTGATGTATATACATACCCACCTTTTTAGTCAGTAAAAATCTCTTCAAAGGGTGCCGGGTGGTTAATAACGAGCATCTGCAGTCAGACTTTAAAAAAATGACAAATACTCCCTCCGTAAACAAATATAAGAGCGTTTAGATCACTACTTTAGTAATCTAAACGCTCTTATATTAGTTTACAGAGGGAGTACTATTTATTTTAGTTTACGAACACCCCGGTCTGATCTTATGTTGGAACCCTAGTGGGCAGGAGAAGATAGGCATGAATCCTAGGATTGAACTTGGTGGGGAAGCTATTCTTCTTGCCGTGTACGCTCACAGACTATACATACATTATCCTATCCACACACACACACAAGGTGCTATCAGTTTCGAAATAAAATGTGTAAAGTGGTTGGAGACGTACACAAACCTCATCTATACGAATACAGACGTTGACGGGGAAGATGTCTACTTGCGAGAGACGCCTTTGTGTTCCCTTCTCCCCTCTTTATTTGGAGGTTCCTGTCATGTTTGACGAGCGACTGGATCAGATCACACGATATATATGTGGGCAAATGGGGTGGGAGCAGTTGCAACTTGGCCGGGAATCTCTGCTTTCTCTACGACAAGGGCTCCTCTTTCCATAAGAACCTCAGGTCACTAGGATTTAGACAGCAGCCGACGTACGCCTCGAATCCTACATCATTTTTGTTCTCCTCGAAATGCAGAATAATATGACCGCGCAGACTGAATGGATTCTGACGAGTATAAGTAAATTGACAAGGTAATAAGAGAATCCACTTGTTATTAAGGTTTAGAACACACTTGCATTACCAGCAGCACATGATAAATTGTGCTCCTTAACTTATCTCACACCAGGAAGTTCCTAAGATAGCATATGTACAGATCTTAGAGGAGTACAGACAATAGTCTGATAACAATTGGTAGTAGATTTCCTAGCCCGATGCAGAAGTACAACAAACCACCCATTGTCCAGGGCCAGGAGGCAACCCTAAACTACGGAATGCTATTATTCGCTTCTTTCTTGCTGCGACTGAACACTGAACTGAGTTCACCGAAGACAGGTTCCGAGATTGAGCCGCTGGGGAGGTTTCGTTATTCCGGTGCTCGCCTCCTTCTATATATAAAGGAATGAACATATGGAGGTGGAGACGACAAGGAAATGAGAGCCCCTGGGAAAGTCCACATAGCATCAACACCGGACAGACAAAGCACCAGGTAATATAAAGTGCCATGAAGTGTTCCTGAGGAAATCGATGAGCCACAAGTTAAAAACAAAAAAAGCAGCAGCAGACATGCGCACATCAGAAATGCATATCTAGAACTAGGCTGTGTTCGGCAATAGTCTGCTCCTTCGCCAGGGAGCGGAGCGGGCAGAGCAGCCATCTGGCCGCTCGCCAAAATTGCACTGAGTGCCGCTCCGCTCCGCAGCGGAGTTAGGAGCGGAGAGGTACCGAATGGCCTCCTAGTCGGATATTGTTATTATTATTGACAGCTACTCAGATATTATGGATATACCATCTCTAATTCCAAACAGTAGTACTTATGTTTCCAACCATGAGGTGAAATTTCCCACGACTTTTCACGCCCTCCTATTCTTTATACCTCATTATTTGTGTGTGTGTGTGTTTTAGGGGAGTGTGTGGTATTTATTAATGGGAATATTTTGGTCCTATTATATTTCTACATAGATTTCTTTTTATGCCTTATCTGTCAAAGTATGGGTGTACTGAAGTTGTACTGCTGTCCAAACTTTGGTGGACCAGCTGATGATAAGTTTTGGGGCTTCTGGCTGTGACTTGTAACCATGAGGCTTATACCTAGTGTCATATGCAATTAGCTACCTGTCCGACTGCTTCACAGCCAATACAGACTGCCTAGGGCATGAGCTGACAAAGAAAGGTTCTGCTCTTGGGGATGATCACCATGCAGTGGATTTATCTTTTCCCAGACTTTGTAACCCATTTTGATGGCAGGAGATTTTCCTGGCTTATCAGTACAATGGAATAGTCATACTCCATCTAAAAAAACTCACTGCGCTTACTGCGCACGTGCTTTGATAGTTTAGTTTGTAGCCCCTCTCACCCCAAACACTAACAATCACCATGCATTTCGTTAGAGTGTGGGTTTGGCAAAGAAAAGAGGGCTCAAAGACATAGCCCCAGTGTTGAAATCAAAACTTTACTGTTTTTTTAGTCTAAACTAGAACCTTTAGGCATCAACACATTCCTAAACCAACTATTCCAAGAACACAAAGAAAGTTAATTGTAAATGATGCAGAATTCTCAAAGTTAACTTCCTTTTACTAATAATCTCTGTGTCCATACAGTTACGGCAGCATTATTTAAGAAATGTATTTCCATGTTTCCAACTAGCCACCCAAACAGTTGCAAATCTAGGGTTTAACATTACCTGTACGAGATGAACCAAGTGAGGATTTTCAACCATGAAGAACCTTGTCTGGATCTAACTGACCACTATAGTAACTGGAAGGAACAGCTGAGAGCTCCAACCTTCCTTTCCACTCTTCACCAGGCTTCAAGGTAATGGGCTTCTCAACAGCTGCAGGCTCCACACACAACATGTGCTTATATTCTTCATCACCAAAATCAAGAATGGTTTTTGACCTCCTCTCCCATGGGTTCCATACAACTACAAAGGGCAAAATGATAACGGAAGTATGGATTTTGTAGTAAGTTAAATAAGAATTGACACAGATAGGTACAGTTTTCACTGCCAAATTAACTTACCAGCATCTGGAAGCCCATCTTTCCTAAGCACAAATGTTCTTTTCTTCTCATGATCAATAATTGCAATTTTTGGTGGTGTGTCCAGATATACTTTATCAATCTTCACAGCAAAGTTTTACAAGTCAGCAGCTGTAGCTTCATATAATCATATGTAACATTGAAGTGGCTTACTTACCTCTGATTCAAACACAAGAGCATCCCCCTGCTCTGTGAATCGCTCTTTTCCCTTCAGGTTGTCAAAGTAGTCCATTGTTTCCAGCCCTTCAATACGTACTTCGCTAAGGAATTTTGCAGTTTCAGTAAGCACATAATAAAGTTTTCAATTATGATGCATTGGAACAGGGAAGCTACAAAAAGTAAAACTAAAATTGCTCAATGTTATCACCAAATGTGCATTGGAAATCATCATTAGTTTTTACTCACAGCAGCAACTGTTTTTGCACTGAGATTAGTCCTGAGCATTCGGTTAATTCAGTCAGTTCGTTTGGTAAATAAATTACAGTTTCAGTAAATACCAAATTATTTTGGTAGGTTTTGGTAAATACCAAACTAACCGAAGTTGACCAGAATTTAATAATAAAGCCACCATATTTTACTTCTGTTCGTATATCCGAACATTTCAAGCTTGTTATGCGCAATGTGGATTGAATAGTCAACGCCGGGATACTCAGACTGATCAGCATTCTCAAGTGATCACGTGGCAAAGCGTAGACCATGTGCCGATCAGTCACACACGCAATAACAAGCCTACAAGCTACAGGCTAGACTAGAGGCTACAGCGGCACCGTGCATCACACAAGCTGACAAGTGCAAGTTGAGTCGCTACAGCGTACAGCCCTTGCTAGTTTACTTAATAATAGTACACAAGTCCAATCTGCTAACTGCTGCTATGGTGCTGCCACGTGATCCATGTGTGCCACAGAAAGGTGGAAAACGGAAGCGAGACACTTCTGTGGTCCTGGAACTTTGGTTTTCAGTATCTACCAATTCCTCCGAACTAACCCAAGGCTAAAACGGTACCGGATATTGATACTGTACCAAAAAATCTAAAACCGCAAAAACCTGGTTCAGTTCAGTTTTAATATGCACTGTCCTAACTGAGATAAGCACTCTGGGTTACAGAATTATCAATGGGCAAACTCAAGCAAAACTTTAGAAACCCTGTTCCACAGTGTCCACTATCTAAGCATGAGGATGCAGTATTCTAACAAGCCAGGATAGGTAACAATTTTGCCCTTATCCATTGACTCAATCCCAACGAAAGGAAACAACTTAACACCCAAGCATACGTTTATTTATCTGCGATAATTTAATAATTACTTGAATATGTTCACCAGCAGAGGAAAAAGGAAGAACCTGAACCCCCTTTTCTCTACTGTCATACTGCTGGCACTAACCAATAAAAGCAAGACCAATATTTTGAAAAGTTGTTCATATGCCGGCACTAACAATATGAGAATCAGAACTAAAGCAGCAGAGTTTCGCATCTGCTCCAAGAAAATGTGCTGAATTTACCAGCCTTGGTTTAATACAAGCACCGCAACTATCACATACATGAGCCTGTACCATGGTATTAACAATATGAAACCAGGGTAGGAAACCAGCCTATTTGTACATCTGCTCCATTTTTTAATGGAACTACTGGTCTTAGACTCTTGGTAGTTGGCTCGGTACCAATGACACAAATACCATGTATATAAGCCTCTTGAAAGGTGGATCTGTGTCTGGTGGTGCACCATTGCCGAGTAAACCCAAGCACATATACCACTGGATGTCTGGACAGCTTTACACTAACATGATTTCACTGTTGCAATTCTAAACCCTTGGAGAAGTTTGAGCTTGAAATATCCAGGGAGGAAAAAAACTGAGAAAAGGGAGGAAAAGAAATTGCAAAGCATAGACGCACCTTATGTCAGACACGGAGAAGTATGTATGATATGCAAATGTAAATGAGAAAGGTTTTCCATCAGTGTTGGTGTTTCTAATTCGGGAAGTAAGAAACAAATCTCCTTTGGGTCCAAGAGCAACTCTTAACCGGAATTCAAATCTGCAAGCCATAGTTTGTCCAAAGACATGAGGAGCAGAATCAGAATTGGCGACATGAAGAGAAGGAAGGAAACATGATCTCTGGATGGTTGATCACGGACCTGTGAGGCCAGATCTTGAGATCTTCTTCAGAAGGCTTCAGAATGAGATCTGCATAAGTTTTAATACCGCTGTTTACTGGGAGTGGTGGAGGATTATCATCAACGAGCCATAGCCGGTTCCTTGCAAATCCATGTTTTTCAAGATTTCCATGTGTTCCAAACTGCATTTATATAGTTCGTTTGGATGACCAGAGAAGGCAAAACATTACAATGAATTTATGGAAGTAAATATTGATGAAGCTGTCATACCTGGGGAAAGCAGATGGGTATGCCACCACGAATTGCTCCTGGAGACTTGAAAACTGCCTGAAAGGGATTGTATTTTGAAAATACAGTTCAGAGATGCTATAATTACTGCAGTAACACGTAGATAATCAAAATATTAAGTAATATGTGCCGGTATTACAGTGTGAAACTTCATAATTAATGGGGTTAAACTTCCAATGGTGCAAAACAAATGTAACATCTAACATGGCCAGAATTGCCAATACGGGCCAAGATGAGGCAGTTGTTTGTGGTCATGCTCAAAAGGAAACTTGATCAGAACGTGTTAGGCTTGTGGTCAAATGGGGACAAACAACAAAATTAATTAGTGGGACAAGGATGACAGGGATGTGTCAATGCATCCAATAGAAGTTTATCGATACAACAAAGTAATGACTTGGGCAATGAGGTCATCCATGACCTCATGAATTGCTCTGTACCTTGCTGCTTACAAAAAGTAACTCATCCCCCTGCTCATTCTTCCAAGAGGTAACTTGCCCTCCATATAGACGGACCTAGCAAAAGACAAGACAATTGATTAGCAGGACTGGTCTGCGTCTAAAAAGGTGATGATAATTGGCAATAATACACGTAGGGACCAGGCCATAAATATTTATTTTGCAGTACGGATAATTCTTGAGATTTGGCAGAGCAAGGGTGGAAAGGTTAGGCATCAATAATGCAGGAGAATTCAAAATGGATGCTCCGAGTCCTACTCGTATGCAAGCATCACACCAAACAGAAGTTTAGAACCTTCTTGCCTGACAAAATTTAAGTATAGCCGTGACAAGAGTAAAAAGAAGGATTAACCCAAACATCTGGGTAAAATGCTAACCAGGGCACAACTCATTCATCTAACAAGGGCACTGCCGTCATTGTAACAATAGCTCCACAGACCACAAACACGTTTTAGTTGCCAGTTGGCACTGATATATACTTATAAATGGCATATGGTGGAATTTTAATGCGATCAAATCTCACCTTCTTCGATCTTACAGTTTCAATAAGCCACAAGAAATTAGATGCCTTAGGTTGTCTGCCAGGCCCTCCATTCCAATAATGCATGGCCGGGAAACAGAGCAACACATACTCAAGTTCATCTTGTAATTCTAAAGTTGTCTTTAGCATAGCTAAGCTCACAAGTTCAAACACACCTCCCATAGCTTAGTGCATCGGGCGAGCAGGACCCTGTCATGCTAAGCAGCTGGCACAAGCTGACAAGTACACCGAAAGTAACACATCAATCAAAGTTAAATTTGGTATGCAGCTCGCTCGATCGGCCTAACACGCCAGAGCCACAATCAGGAACCCACAGCCCTGTGGCTCCCACAACTTGTCATTAAAAAAGGAGGATTGGTAGGATAGCACCTCCCCCTAAAAAAGGGCCATGACACGCATATATGGGACCAAACGCCAGCGGACAGGGGATTAGCCATCCGATCCTGGAAACGTTAGGGGGGTAAACCTACTTAGTCCCCTCTCGCTTTCGAGCGGTAGCATAGTCGGTGCGTCTTTTCCGCTGGGTCCCCGAGCGTGATAAAGAATTAAAGATGATTGTCTGCGTAAAACTTGTGTCCTATCGGTTATCACCATCACATCTTACCCAGTCCAGCTACCAAGCTGTGAATGCTACAGGGACGTATGGCCGCAGCCGCGTCTCTTGGCTTTGATTTTTCACAGGATTTGCGCGCACGCGAAAGTATTTTGGTTTGAGACAACTCGCGAAATCTGATTGCAACGGTGCTCCTGGAGGATTAAACCGCGTTTGACTGACGGGAGGACGGCGAAATGGCACCGCGAATTCCTCTGATCAAAAGGGGAAAGGTAGAAGGAGACGCTAACAATTAAACCCTATCGGAGCGCGGTACGACATAATGCGCCTCGGATTGATGGGCCGGCGGAGCCACGAAATCCGCCCGAAAATCGCGCGCCCCGGACGCCTGTGATTCTGAAACCGGCGGCCCTGCCCTCCCTGAGAACGCGCGCGCGCCGGCGAGCCCCGCGGCGGATCCGCGGGGAATGCGCTCCGAATCGGCTGGAAACGGGCGGGGGAGCGGGAGGGGAGGGGGAGGGGGGAGAGGCGGCCGCGTACCTCGGCGGTGAACCCGCGCGGGTCGCGGAGCACGATCTTGTCGAGGCCGGAGGGGCCCTTGGCGCGCTCGAGGAGCGGCGGCTGCAGCTTGGGCGACTTGGGCGTCGGGGGCGGCGAGGACGCGCCGGCCATTCCCCACCACCGGCTGGCCTCCCGCGCCTTCCTTTTTCCTTTGCCTTTCCCCCTGGCGGAGAGAGAGAGGGAGGGAGAGAGCGAGTGGAAGGGGATGGAGATAGTGGAGTGTGGAGAAGAGAGAGAGGAATCCAAAGTGTGACGGCGAGTATTTATAGCCGGAGTGAGGAGGAAGAAGAGGAAGAAGAGAGTGGGTCTGTTCTAGTGGTGTGGTGTGGCCTGTCCTGGCCGTGTGGGTCGCGTGGCTGACTGGGCGGAAGGGCCTACAGGAGTGCGTGCGTCATCGGCTTCGCTGGCGCGTCCGGTCAAGCCTCGGTGTCATCCATGGCAAGATTTGTCCATGGATGGATGTTTATGGTCGCCGTCGCCAACTGAATTATAGCATGTTTGGAACGCAGGAATCCAAAGACAGTAGAAGCATACAAAAATCCTCAGAAATTGACACTCTTGTCTCAAAGATCGCGCGGAAAATGAAAACGCATGAATTTTACTGGTAAATTCCGAGCACTAGTGCCAAGTCTTGGTTGACTAGTAAATTTTAAGGACAGTGGGTTTCTTATAGTACCACCACAAGAAACCAAACCAGCTAAGTTACGCTCAGTTCTCGCATGAGCAATGTTTAGTAAAATAAACAATTCTTTACGCACCGGTGTTTATCTCTATCGTTGCTTAAATAAAAGTTCGATCTATTTTTCTAAACACTTTGCATTATACATCTTCTGATTAGAGTAAAGGCCTTGGCAAGTTCGATACAATGTTCTTCTAAGGCAGTGGACTCCCTCAAAGCCCACACTAAATCACCGCAAATTATTTCGATGAGTGGAGAGAAACACTTGTGTTGTCCTGGACTTCTTAAAGGAAATTGAATACGAGATTGGAGCTCATGTTTAGGAACCTCCCATGCACGAAGAACACGACCATTGCTCTAAAACTTGACTTCCAACTTTTTTTATTCAGTCTCTTGGGCCCCTCTCTCTAGAATCATGTGTGCCAAGAGTGTTGGAAATATTAGCATTTTTCTGACTAATCTAATCCGCGAGTAAACAGTAAACATGGCAAATAAGGTATGCATCTCATATCAATACCTAAGCATATGAGTACGTACAATATATAGAACCGAAACATCTATAAACATCATATATACGGCCAACACATGTACGAACAGAAAGGGGATGAACGAGTTATACCCTCCGGTTGGCCAAGCCAACACGGCGGCGGCAGCAGCGGCCTCGGCATCAGCCAAGGCCTTCTTCTTGGTGACTTCGTCGTCAGCCATGGAGTCGATGTAGAGGAAGTAGTGGAAGCAGAGGCGAACGAAGACGGGGACGGATCGGGAGCAGTCGCATCGAGACGCTCCCCAAAAACCTTATTGCCGTTCTCCCGGGCAGGATCTCGAACGGCAGGGTTCAGGAGGCACCTGCTCTCCCGACCAACCGTGCACGCGGTCGTCGGGATGGGATCGCCAGAAGCAACACAGTGAGAGGAACAGTAGATGACGGCTAGGGTTGTGCGAGAGAGGAATGAGTGAACTGAGTTAGGGTTCACACCACTGGCCAGCGCCTTCTTATGTAGGTCGTCGGGTAGATGGGCCTGGGCTCATGCCCACGACCGAGTCCGCGAATAGCCCACGGTCCAACGTCTCGGACAGTGGCACTTTCGTAAGCATCTCGTTAATTAATTCGAGATTAATTAACCATTTCCGACCGGCAAAAAAAGCTTTGGCTCGGCTCATTCCCGCAACCCGCGGCGCGCGCGCATCGTGTAGAGGCGTGGCGAGGCAGGCGGCGGCGGAGGAGCGCGCGTGTACAACTCCTATTCCCAAGCTCCCAATAGCAAGTGGTGGAGCGGCCCTTATAAAGAGGTCTCACTCTTCTTACTATAGCAGTATGGTATTAAACTTCCCACACTTCCCACCACTTGTCATGCACACACATGGGCCTTAGAGATTAACCAGGTATTATTGTCTTATATGGGCCTAAGCCCATCCATAATTCAACAAAGAGTTCCCCCTTCACTTGGTGCAATTGGATTGAAAATCTTAATACTTCTAGCAACTCTGCCATCCTTCTTGATGTCGTAGGGGACTACACCAAGGCGACCGTTATCTCCCTATCTATTTATCATTGTCACAGGACTGATCACTCACGCCCCCAACTCTGAAATTCTTTCCCATCCCATTTATCAAAACTTGTCGTTGTTGGGAAACGCATTATTTCAAAAAAAATCCTACGATCACGCAAGATCTATCTAGGAGATGCATAGCAATGAGAGGGGAGAGTGTGTCTACATACCCTCATAGACCGAAAGCGGAAGCGTTAAGTAACGCGGTTGATGTAGTTGAACGTCTTCGCGATCCAACCGATCAAGTACCGAACGCACGGCACCTCCGTGATCTACACATGTTCAGCTCGGTGACGTACCTCGTACTCTTGATCCAGCTGAGGCCAAGGGTGAGTTCCGTCAGCACGACGGCGTGTTGACGGTGATGATGAAGTTACCGACGCAGAGCTTCGCCTAAGCACTACGACAATATGACCGAGATGGAAAACTGTGAAGGGGGGCACCGCACACAGCTAAAGATCAACTTGTGTGTCTATGGGGTGCCCCCCTCCCCCGTATATAAAGGAGAGATGAGGGGAGGGCTGGCCGGCCCCTAAGGCGCGCCCCAACTAGGAGAAGAAGGAAGGAGAGGGAAAGAGGGGTCGCGCCCCCCTCCCCTTGTCCTATTCGGACTCCCCTTGGGGGCGCGCCACCTCCTAACTACGTCCCTATCTCTCCCCTAAGTCTCACTAAGGCCCATAACTTCCCGGGGGGTTCCAGTAACCCTCCGGCACTCCGTTTTATTCGAAACTATCCGGAACACTTCCGGTGTCCGAATAACATGGTCCAATATATCAATCTTTATGTCTCGACCATTTCAAGACTCCTCGTCGTGTCCGTAATCACATCCGGAACTCCGAACAACCTTCGTACATCAAATCACATAACTCATAATACATATCGTCATCGAACGTTAAGCGTCCGGACCCTACGGGTTCGAGAACTATGTAGACATGACCGAGACACATCTCCGGTCAATAACCAATACGGAACCTGGATTCTCATATTGGTTCCTATATATTCTACGAATATCTTTATCGGTCAAACCGCATAACAACATACATTGTTCCCTTTGTCATCGGTATGTTACTTGCCCGAGATTCGATCATCGGTATCATCATACCTAGTTCAATCTCTTCACCGGAAAGTCTCTTTACTCGTTCCATAATGCATCAACCCGTGACTAATCCATTAGTCACATTGCTTGCAAGGCTCATAGTGATGTGCATTATCGAGAGGGCCCAGAGATACCTCTCCGATACACGGAGTGACAAATCCTAATCTCGATCTATGCCAACTCAACAAACACCATAGGAGACACCTGTAGAGCATCTTTATAATCACCCAGTT